GAATCAGCCGTAGGTATACACATACTCACGTCCCCTCCTTGAAACTCCCTTCTGGCGGTCTCCCCAGCCCACCCCTCGGGTTGTCGCCAAGCCCCAGTTTGAATTCCCTGAGACATATACAAATTGCCACTGGCTATCCATTTTACATATGCTAATACATGTTTCCATGTTACCAATTAGAGTGCTTTTAAAGCTTGTTTCTCACAAGCTTCCACACCTAAACAGACTCACTGGAAATTTCATCTGCCATAAGGAGATGTTCAGGGAACACTTTATTCATATTGTGATGGAAACCCTTGCCATTTTTTTCATGCCTATCAATGGAAGAGAACATTTGTACAAACACGTACATTTCACTCCCAGTCTCACATCTTTTAAATTTTATTTTTAAGATTTTTGATGTGGTAAGAACGTGTATCATGAGATTTACCCTCTTTGGCAGATTTTTAAGTGTACGATACAGTATTGTCACCTTTAGGCACAATGTTGTACAGAGGAACTCTAGAGCTGATTATTTATTTGTTTATTTTGGCTGCACCGTGAGGCCTGTGGAATCTTAGTCCTCTGACAAAGGGTGGTACCCCGCCCCCTGCAGGGGAAGCGCGGAGTCTTAACCAGTGCACTGAAATGTTATACCTGTTAATAAGCAACTGCCCCAGTATACCCCTCCCCAGCCCTTGGCAAGCACCATTCGATTCCTTGCTTCTAGGAGCTTGACCATTTCTGATACGTTATATAAGTGGAATCGTGACGTGTTTGTCCTTCTGTGTCCCAGTCTCAATTTTTTAGCATATTATTGTTCTTTTTTTTACTGACAATATAGTAAGTGATCAGTATAGAAAACATGTACAATACTAAAAAGGAAAAGCAAGAAAATGACCCCAGATCACAAAGCCTTTTATCACACTTGGGTATGTTTCAGGACTACCCATCTGATGATGTCCCTTGATTTCCAGCCCCTTGCTGCTCACATCCCAGACTCCCCACTCCCTCAGGCGCTCCCCACCAGGCTTCTCTTCCTTCCACACCAGCAGGCTCTTTCTGCAGCAGGCTTCTGCACACATGGTCTCCTCCTTAAGCATCCTCTGTTCCCTAGTGAGCCCTGCTTATCCTTCAGGTTGTCACTTAATTGTCATGCCTTCCAGAAGTCTCTCCTGATCCAGCTACCCCAACACCCACCGAAATATACGTGGTTTTACCCTACTGTGCCCTCTCATTTCACTCCGAACATCTCCTTTACAGCATTTGACCAAGGATGCAGGCATGTGCCCCATTTATTACTTATCTCCCATGTAGACATATGGTCTGAGAGGGGGACCCTGTTTCGCTCCTCAGTTTATCTTCCACCAAGCACCATGTCTGACCTACAGTAAATGGACCAGTATGTACAGACTTACCTCATGTATCTTAGCAGCTTTATAGATCTTTAGCCATGTTTCTGATTATTGTTTGAGAGTGAGTTCTAGGCATGTATGTTAGTGTGCTCAGGCTGCCGTAACAAAATGCCACAGGCCAGATGCCTTGAACAACAGGTGCTCACTTCCTCACCGCTCTGGAGGCTGCAAGTCCAAGACGAAGGCGTCAGCCTTCGTCAGCCTCTCTCCTTGACTTGTCGACGGCCGTCTACTCCCTGTGTTTTCACACGGTCTTTCCTCCGTATGAGCATGTCCCTGGTGTGTCTCTCAATTTCTTCCTCTTATAAGAACACTAGTTAGAGTGGATTAGGGCCACCCTGATGGCCTCATTTTAAGTTAATTTTTCAAGGCCTCACCCTCAAATACGGTCACATTGTGAGCTATTCACATGGAGCTTCAATATGTGAATTTGGTGAGGCAGGTTGCAGGGGAGGGATGATACAGTTCAGCCCATGTGCAATGAGGACCTTACTTTAAGTCTTTTGCTTCATATTGTCAACAGCTTTCCAAGAAAGCTGTATCCATTTATAGTCCTGCTACCAGCAAGGAATGACAGTGCCTATCCCCTTGCACTCTTGCTAGTGTTAGTATTATTTAAAAAAAAGAACTTTTTTTTTGCTAACCCAAAAGGCAAAATTGTATGTTATTTCATTGTAACACAATTTTGACTACTAATAAGCCTAAACAGTTTTCACCACTTGGTATTTCTTTTTCTTTCATTCTTTATACGTTTACTCACTGAATGTATATTTAATAAACTTATGCTGTGAAGGCAGCAAAGTGCTGTGTGCTGAGTTTCTAGGAGAGAATGAAACGTGGCCCTTGACGTGGTGGCGCACACAGTCTACTGGAGGAGAGACACGTGTAACAAAATTAACCAAAAGACAGTGGTGAAAAGTGTCACGAGGTATGAGACCTCAGGAAGAGCATCTAACAGTGTTGCGGGGGCCTGGACCAACCAGGGGGGTAGGCAAGGCTTTCTGCAGGGTGTGGTTTCCATGGTGAGTGAAGCAATTGCCGGGGATGAAGTGAAGGGGTGGGGTCACAGCCAGAGAGGACCTCTTGTGAAAATGCCTGCGCTGGCTCGGAGCAAGTGAGCCGACGGAAGTGCGCAGTGAGGCTGTGTCCCTGAAGAGGTGAGGGTGGGGCAAGATGAAACGTGATGGGGCAAGAAGAAACGTGATGGGGTATGTTTGCTGCGGTTGTTTTAACTACGCTGTCTGCTGGGGGGAAAGTGAAATAAAGTGAGGAAAAGTGAACCCAGGATAGCTCCAACCAGGAAGGAGGCTGCTACTGTAATCTGGGTGAAAGGTAATGATGACTTGGATTAGGGTAGTAACAGTGGCACTGGAAAAGAGTGAATGGTTTTCAGAGACACTTGAGAGGTGGATTCTACTGACTTGGCAATTGAATGTGGAAGGTGGCCCTAGTAGCCAGGTGAATGGTGGTGCCTTTTCTAAATTGAGGGGCACTTGAGAAGCAGGAAAAGGAAAAGCAGAAAACGTCAAGGCTGTATATTGTCACCCTGCTTATTTAACTTATGTTCAGAGTACATCATGAGAAGTGCTGGGCTGGAAGAAGCACAAGCTGGAATCAAGATTGCTGGGAGAAATATCAATAACCTCAGATATGCAGATGACACCACCCTTATGGCAGAAAGTGAAGAGGAACTAAAAAGCCTCTTGATCAAAGTAAAAGAGGAGAGTGAAAAAGTTTGCTTAAAGCTCAACATTCAGAAAACTAAGATCATGGCATCTGGTCCCATTACTTCATGGGAAATAGATGGGAAAACAGTGGAAACAGTGTCAGACTTTTATTTTTTTGGGCTCCAAAATCACTGCAGATGGTGATTGCAGCCATGAAATTAAAAGACACTTAACTCCTTGGAAGGAAAGTTATGACCAACCTAGACAACATATTAGAAAGCAGAGACATTACTTGCCCACAAAGGTCTGTCTGGTCAAGGGTATGGTTTTTCCAGTGGTCATGTATGGATGTGAGAGTTGGACTGTGAAGAAAGCTGAGCACTGAAGAATTGATGCTTTTGAACTGTGGTGTTGGAGAAGACTCTTGAGAGTCCCTGGGACTTCAAGCAGATCCAACCAGTCCATCCTAAAGGAGATCAGTCCTGGGTGTTCACTGGAAGGACTGATGCTGAAGCTGAAACTCTAGTACTTTGGCCACCTCATGCGAAGAGTTGACTCACTGGAGAAGACCCTGATGCTGGAAGGGATTGGGGGCAGGAGAAGGGGACGACAGAGGATGAGATGGCTGGATGGCATCACCGACTCGATGGGCATGAGTTTGAGTAAACTCCGGGAGTTGGTGATGGACAGGGAGGCCTGGCATGCTGTGATTCATGGGGCCGCAAAGAGTCGGACACGACTGAGCAACTGAACCGAACTGAACTGAACTGAGAAGCAGGTTTGGGGAGGAGAGGCAGTGAGTTTGAATTTGGACAGGTCAGGCTGTGTGCCTATGGGAAACCAAGAGGGGAAGTTTTGAGTGGGCAGAAGCTCAGAGGAGAAGTCAGTATAAATGAGGAAACTAGGTTATAGATAGAAACTGAATTCTGGGGGTGAGACATTTAGGGAGACAGTGTTAAGTGAGAAAGCGAAGGAAGGGGAGGAGGACTCGTTTAGAGCACTGGGGGACTCCGACAGCTATGAGCAGACAGGAGGGAGAAGTGAGCAGACATCTGAAACACAGTGGCAGAAGGGTGAAGGGGAAACCAAGAAGGTGCCATGGCAGAAGGCAAGAGAAAGACCGTTTCCAGAACGGCTCCCTGGGTACCTGGGTTGAAGGTTACATAAAGGACGAAAGGCTAAAACAATCACAGTATTTGGCAACATGGAGACCAATACCCTAACTAACATGTGGTTGCAAAAGCTGGATTGGAGTGGTTTGGAGAGTAAGAAAAATTGAGGGAGCAAATGTCACCATTCTTTCAAAAGTTTGGCTTCTCTGAACTCTGTCTTTCGATCATTTTCCAATTGTTATTGATCATTTTCTGTTGCCGTCATTGTGTTACCTGACCTCTGTGTTTTTATGTATATGTGAATATATGTATTTTCAGATTTATTAAATATTAGTAACTTGCAGTAAATATTTTGTTTTTTTGTCCACTGCATGATTTTATGTTGTTCTCATGTATATTAGCTTTATTTATGTAATTAATGTTTTTCCTTTTGACTTCTTCTATTGTTCTTTGCTCTTAGAAATTCCTTCTCCATACAGAAATCACACAACTATTCATCTTTGTATTTTTTTAAATAATGTTTATGGCTCCCTTAAAATTTTCATTTGATTATTTTGAAATTTTTTTTTACATGTCAATTTAAGACTTGGAACACTTGATTATGCCACCCTAATAATACAGGAGCAACAAAGCTAATCTTAGGATGTTTAATGTTTTGACCAATTGATTCCATTGCCTCACTGCTGTAGAAAGGTCCTACTGATCAAGAAGATAAAATTTCAGTTCAACATGAGAGTCGTTTGGTTAGTAATTTATGGACATTCTGTCTCCGTGTTAATATTGTGCAGTCTCTTTATATTGTAACATTTTTCATTCTGTATTCCCAGTTTCCCGTGCTTCCCAGAATGATGTCTTCTGCCAGCCATCCTAGAAGGTATTCTTATGAGGACCAGGGATTTCGATGCCACACTCACGTGCGGGACCACAGAAAGTGCTCAGGGGATGGGTCATTCAAGGAGCCATTGGATTCAAAAGGAAGATCCCATTCCAAAATTCAGTCATTTTCAGACTCCCCTGAACAGCAACTGTGCTTTAGAACCAAACGTTCCGTCTCTTTGGTATGTAACAGAGTTATTGAATATTTAAGCTGTCTTAGAAAAGGAAACTCAAAGCGTTCGTACTCTCCCAGTTTGAGGAGAACAAATCTAACTTCTTATTTACAGTTTGACGCTGAGATCTTTGGAAAATTACACCTGTTTTAGATAGCCCAGATGTACATAAAGGTTTTAAATTATTATTATTTAAAGACATCGGGTGTAGGAAGAATTAAGTACCGGTTGGAATGTTTTTGTTACCAGTGTCCTCTAGTTCTTTGAGACTGTTTCTATCACCCTTATTACAAATAACTGTGATGTGTTCTCCTTTCACTATCTGAAGAAGAAAAAACTGCCCCTAATGCTCTTGTCCTCGCCTATGTAATCTGGTAGGAAATAGTTTGTGATGGCGTTGTGCCCCCGTATCTTTAAAAAGCACATGGAAGGAACTCTGTGGACCCCATGGAGAGCAGGAGCAGTCACAGTGGCCTCGTGGGAACCCAAGTGAGGCATAAGGGAAACGCAGGCGGGGAACGGGGGAAGGATAGACACGCCACTGATGATGCCAGAGCTGATACACAAAGTACTGAACTAGAGACCGATTAATTGGAGGTTAGTTTTCAGCTCTGCAATGTGTTCACTGAGCAGCCTTAGGCAACTTGCTTCTTTTTTGGTAGGCCTTTGATTTTGGTTTTATTTTGCAAACCAAGAGCAATGATATGTTTCTGCCATGTAGTAGGTGGAGCGAATAAGCAAGGCTGGATGCACCTGGACCTTGAGCTGTGCTCTGTGACTGGCTGGGGAGGACACTCGGGGGCTTCCTAGCTCATGGTCCCCCGAGCTCGCTGCTTTCTGCCCAGCTGAGGTGGCTGCTGGGATTGTCACTGTGCATCTTTGCCTCGCGGCGGCACGTCACTTCTGTCACAGTGACCTTGTGTATCTATGACCCCCCTTCAGTAAGTGCTATCTCTACGGGATCAAAAAAGGAAGAAGGAAGGAAGAATAGTGAACAGCTGTCACTTACTACATCTAAACCTTATTAAGGGTTTCTATTTTGTCTTTTTTTTAAATACTTTTTTTTTTTTAAGATATGCTTTCAGACTTAGAACAAGGTTGCAAGAAGAGTGCCAAGACTACACCTTTCACCTAGATTCTCTCTAAACGTGAACATATTATTGCGTTTATGTTTACTCTCTCTTTCCTTCCCACCCCCAAACAAGGGCACAAGGATATAAATACAGTGTGGTAATTAAAAGGAAATGAACACCAACACAATCTATTGGCCTTATTCATATTTTGCCAGTTGTCCCAGTAATATTTTTTATATCAAGAGTCCAGATCATGTGTTGCAACCGATTTTCGTGTTCCTTTAAGCTATTGTATTTCTGCAGCAATGCCTCAGTCTTTATCTTTGATAAGACTGGCTGGTTATGTTTTAGAATGACGCTCAGTTTGAAATCATCTGATATTTCCTCATGATTAGATTCACATGATGAGCTTTTGGCAGGAATAAAAATTTTTTTTTCACATCTGTTTCAAAACTGCTTGTTAAAGTCATTAATTATATTAATCAGGGAACTGACTTGCTTTAAATTCTTTCTAGAACAAGGAAGGATATAAATATGTTTTGAAAAAAATTTTAATCAGAACAATTCTTTGTTGATTCTGATGGCCACAGAAAAAATTCATATCACATGTTTACATAAGTGTGTAAATGTGAAATCAATTTTCTTACTTAAAGAAATGTCATTTCCTTATCCTTAAAATATAATAGTGTTTGTTTCATTCATCTCTCAAGTTCTTCCTTTTGAGTGCCAAGGTAACCAAGGCAGCCTTTCAACTTTTTTGACTCAAGAACTCTGTTCATAGTTATGATATAGTTGGCCCTTTGCGTCCTTGCACTTGTGAACTGGGCATCTGTGTATCTCTGTACCCATGGGTGGTTTTGGAACCAGTCCCCTTGAGGATACTGAGGGATAACTGTATAATAACCTAGAAACCTGCTGGGAATTTACAAAATCATTAAAATTCTTTTAATATTATGTGATCAATATATATGATAAATAATTTTAAATTAAATATTTTAAACTTTATATTACTTTTAAACAATATATTATAAAGTTTTTCTTCATTCCAAATAACAAATTTTGGAACAGTGCATACTTTAAAACATTTTTCTGTTTAACAATTGATGAAGTTTTCTGAAACTAGCTACATTAAAAAGCGTGATTTGTCAGGAAATTTAAAAACGATGTATATTGCCTTTTATTTGGGGGCCAAATGTATACGACTATATAGATTTAAATTTTACATCTTTTAGCATCAAGAAGAGCCAGAAAACTGCTTTTGTGATCTGTCCATGACCAACAACATTAAAGTTTTTCCTTTTGACATTGAAAAACTCAACTGGCTTTTTAAAATAATTTTTCTCACTTTGTTTCTAACTGATAAGAAAAAAATATTTCATGTCACTATTATGAGCAATTTTCACGTAGTCTTTATTCTCAATGAGGGAAAAGCCAAATTGCAAATAATCATCACTATATTTTCTCTGTTTTATACTGTTCCTATAAGGATTAGAGACATTCCTGGCTGCTAAATATGAATTATGATCAGATTGATGGATTTAATACAAGTGCTGGAACTAATGAAAATAATCTGGAGGCATATTTACAGGGCTAGTACAATTTTTAAGCCCCTCTTAACTTGTCTCTCAGCTTCATCATTTGTTTTGCTTTCTGATTTTGACTAATGGACCATTATAGATAGAAGTGAACTAATCTCAGTATGGAAACAATTTAACACTCTACAGCGGATAACACCCCCGCAGTAACCAGACGTCCCCATAACTCACCCTGCTGGGCTCGCCATGACCTTGCCCATCTGAGTGCTATTGCATATGTTCGCTTCATAGGCCCTCAGGAGTTCTGCAGCATTTCCAATTCAAGTGGACGAAGGGGAGTAATGATTTTGTTTATTTAAAAAACTGAAGTGTAAATAGATACCATCACCACATTATCAATACTAGTCTTTTGGAAGTAATTCCTTTGAAAGTAACCCTCTGACCATGGAAACCAAAGAAGCACAGTTCTCCCCTTGCCCCCAGTCTCCACACATTTCCCTGTCATATCACCCTATTTATAGTTACCATTGCATTTATAACTACCTGTTATTTTTTTATTTCCTTTCAGGCTTATTGGTTGATTGTCTGTCTCCCTCCGTCTAGGTGTAGAATCTAGGAAGTAGGACCTCTAGTCTAGTTGGTGTCATAGCGCCCCATCCTAGAACAACAGTCTGTGTTCATTTGATCATCGACTGTGGACCCCTGGGCAACTCGTTGGGGAACGTTAGTGTGGTTGAATGTCATTCTTGGCACTTCATTCTTTACCTAGTCCTTATCTGAAAACTTAATGCAAATCTTCAGTGACCATATGGAGGTTAGAATCATTCAATATATGATTCCCGTGCCACATTCTTTTTCAAAAAGTGGCAGAAGAATATTAATTTTACTGTGAAATCCCATCCCTTTGTATCTTAGAGGCAGAGTCATGTGCAGGCTGAGTTTCCTCCACAGACCATCTGCTGATGCCCAAAGCCCTTCTTCCTTTATTTATGACTAAAGCTTTAGCAACACCCTTAGGCTTGTGCTAATTTATTACTAAAAACTAAGATGTGAAAGTCTCCTCCATGATTAGAGTTTCCTACATTTCTGATAATTAGGAAAAATGTTGAATGTTGTCAGCTCTCTACCCTTTTCCAACCTTTCTTTATCAGGGACCAGAGAGCAGAAAGGAGAGAAATGAGAGAGAACGCCGGTTTCTGGAAGTGAGGTCTTGCAAGAAAGCGGAGGAAAAAAGGAGCTCTAGGAAGGAAGAGCATGGAGAAGCATACCTGCCCACCCTGTCTGAAAAAGCGCACAAATAACTCTTTGCTTCTACACCACGACTGCTGATGCTGCTGTGTTTTTGAGCCCCAATTCACCCGACCCAGGAACGGTGCCTGCGAGAGGGTCTGCACATGCTGAGACTCAGGTGGGCGGTTGATTCAGCTGCTCCCCAAGGCAGCTTGCATCGTACCCCACCTGCTTTTCAGAGTGTGATCTGCTCTGTTGCCCTTTTAGGGGATTAAAAAGAATAAAAGGTATTTTAATAGAATAAAGTTATTCTTGAAAATGTAAAGAGAGATATTTAAAGAACCACCCACACATCTTCACCAACCCTTCTTGCACATCAGACTCACAAATAATCTTAAATAGAAGTCATTGGTGTGACTCGAACTCCTTACTAGAAGTTATTATATAAGTAGGTCTAATGGCCATCATTTAATGAGAACTGGTAATTAAAGGTGCCAGGTACTATGAGGAGAGTTTGAATGCGTGACCTGAAATAGTCCTCACCACTCCCGAGGTGAGGCGTTGTCTTTTCACTTGCTGGCAGAGGAAACAGGAGCTTAGGAAAGTTCCGTCTCTCACTGCTGAGGTGGTAGTCAGAGTTGGGGCCAGAGCTCAGCTCATTCTGACTCATGTTCCTACCCTGAGGCAGGACATCCTTTCCCCTTTGGCGGTGGGTCCTGACTTAGTCTTTGTGTGATTTGCTTGTAAATGGACAGATGCGAATGAGAAAAGCAGGACTTGGAAGTGGGTTATAGTTTTGATGATGAGAACTTTTAAGACTTACTCTCTTAGCAACTTTCAAATATACTATACAGTATTGTTGACTGTCGTCACCTTGCTGTACATTACATCCCATGACTTATTTGAAACATATGGAATGCTTCACACGGCTCTGCACGTCACCCTTACACAGGGGCTGTGCTAAGCTTCTCTTGTCTCCAGAGAAGTTCCAATCTTACTGTATATGCTGTTGAAGCAGGCACTTTTTATTCTTTTCCCAGCTTTATTGAAGTATAATTGATGAATAAATTTGTGTATATTTAAATTGTTCAGCATGATGATCGACGTGTATGTATATGACATCCTTTGTGAAACCATCACCACAGTCAGGTTAATTAAACACATTGAGCCCATATTCTATTTTTCTCCCTAGAAGAAGAGATAGTTGAAATCTTCCTACTTATTCTTTTTTTAAAAGTTAAAAAATAATTTTAACTGGAGGATAATTGCTTAACGATGTTGTGTTGGTTTCTGCCGTATAACAATGTGAATCAGCCATAAGTGTATATTATATATATATATGTATATATATATATATATATATATATATATACACCTATGTCCCCTTCTCTTGAACCTCCCTCCCCTCCCCAGGCCACCCCCTGGGATTGTCACAGAATACTGGATTTGTGCTCCCTGTGTCATATAGCAACTTCCCACTGGCTATCTATTTTACATATGGTAATGTGTATGTTTCAGGGCCACCCTCTCAAATTCGTGTCACCCTTTTCTTCCACTGCTGTGTCCACAAGCCTGTTCTCAACATCTGGGTCTCTATTCCTGCCCCCTATTTGTTTTATCTCTGTCTTGGATCTTTACATGCCCATGGGAAGCAAGAATCTCTATATTTAAAGAAGATCTCCCAGAACTATACCACAACTGATTGCTTATGTAAGAACAAACTAACTTTGGCATAGTTAGTAAAAAGAAAGAAAAAGAGAAGAGGAAAACAGTGAAATAAAATTAAAATGTTGATGATCATTAACTTGCATTCTTTCGATTCCTACAACTTGTACCGTCACCATTTTGGGTTGATACTTTCATGTAGCCTCGCAGTGATGCTTTTTCACACAAGTAAAAGATGACTTCACTCTATTACCTGGTGTGTTTGCCGCCAAGGGGGAGAATGGGATCTGACCTGTCTTCGAGGTTTGTGTTCTGCTGTAGTTATGGGGAAGATACTGGTTTCCCCACCTTCGCGTGGATACTTTTCAGTCTTGCTGACCAAATTGCAGACGGGGGTGGTCTACGCATCTGCAGTGGCGCCCAATATAAAGGTCTGGGAAGAAGTGGCCCACCCATGGGAAGGAGAAATGCCTGCAGTTCTTGGGGCACGTTGACTGGCTGATTGAGGGAGTAGCCACCTTCCACTCCTGCCAGGATACGTGTGAAGGTTCTTACCCTTCGAGGATGATGGTACCTGGAAAAATCGGAATTAGGAATTTTATTCTACATTTTATCAAATTGGAGGAAAGTCCATTTTCAGCACACTTTCAGGACCATTGTACATGGAAGAGAGGGGACTCTCTGAATATGACTTTGCCTATTTATTGCCTTTTTAAAATTTGTTTTAAAATAAAACAATACTTGTCATAATAAAAATATAAAAGAAAAAGAATAAAAATTAAAATTCTTATTATACTTAATCAGAGATATACTTTATTTTCTGTCTTTTCAGAATATTATCTATGTGTATAGACACACACATACACACACACACACCCCATATTTCCAAACATGAACTCATTTCAGTTAACAATATATCATAACATCTTTTAAAGTCAATAAAATAGTTGAGTATATAATTTTAATGGTTATTTCAAAGGAAACATGCTTAGAACATGCTCAAGTCTGTTCTTAGAAAGTTTCCTCCATAACATATCAGTAGGTACCACTTTTAATAGCCAGTAGTTACCACCCTGGCCTTCCCCCGTGGCTCAGATGGTAAAGAATCTGCCTGCAATGCAGGTGACCCAGGTTTGATCCCTGGGTTGGAAGATCCCCTGGAGAAGGGAATGGCTACCCACTCCGATATTCTTGCGTGGAGAATTCCACGGACAGAGGAGCCTGGTGGGCTACAGTCCATGGGGTTGCAAAGAGTCAGACATGGCTGAGTGACCAACACTTTTTCCCCCCCTGATACCTTAGCTATCTTTCCTTTCACAGAAAACTTCCTGAAGACTATCTGTTACATTTCCCCCTAGATCTTCAGTCTGTGGCAATGTGACTTTTATCCTTACCTTCTTTGTAAGCTGTTCTCTTTGAAGTCGCTCTTGTCCCATTTACTGTCAAACTGTATGAAAACATTGCTCTACTTCCTTAGCTTGACTATCTGGCAGCTTCTGACACTCTCTCCCTTGTGAAGTCCTCTCTTTGGCTGTTACGATCTATATTCTTCTTTGGTTCCTTGGACTTCACTGATCATTCTTGGTTAGTCTTTGTTGAGGAATCCTTAACCCTTAAGTGCTGGCTTTCCTCTAGGCTTTCTCTGCGCATGTGTTCTAGGCATGTGTCTGACTCCCCCTATTCTCTTTGGGCAATCTCAAACATCCCATGGGGTCAGCTACCTACGTGGTGTGTTATTCACTCAGTCATGTCCAATTGACCCTATGGTCTGCAGTCCGCCAGGCTCCTCTGTCCATGGAATTCTCCATGCAAGGGTACTGGTGGGTTGCCATTCCCTTCTCCAGGGAATCTTCCCCACCCAGGGATTGGACCCAAGTCTCCAGCCTTGAGGGAGATTCTTTACCATCTGAGCCACCACGGAAGCCCCAAACGGTCCCTAAATCTCTTCCTGTGATGCAGACCTTTCTCTTGAGCACTGCACCCATACATACAACTGGACCTTAGACGTATATCTAGTTGCAGTTTTCATAGGCATTGCAAACTCATTTTGTAATTTTATGGTCATACCGCAAGACTGGTGGGATTTTAGTTCCCAGACCCAGGATTGAACCTGGGCTCTCAGCAGTGAGATCATGGAGTGCTAGCCACTGGACTGCAGGAATTCCCTAAAACTCACTTTTAAAAAGTAAATTATTATTTCTTGCCCCCCTGTCTTTCCCTCCTCTCATGTTCCCTATCTCAATAAATGGTTAGTATCATTTACCAGTTGTCAACTAAGAACTTGGTTCAGTTCAAAACCATCTTGTACTCTTCTTTTGCTCTCCATTCCAGTAATCATTGACTTCTGCCTATTTTGCCTCTAAATATCACTGGGGACCTACTAAATTTCATTCTCACTGCCACCACATCACTTCAGGCCCCTTGATTGCAACAAAGATAATAATATATCTTGCCTTGATTCCAACAAAATGATGTCTTCCCTGACCAGGGATCAAACCTGGGCCCCCTGCATTGAGAGCACAGAGTTTTAGCCACTGCACCACCAAAGAAGTCCCTCCCCTATTTTAACATGGATATTAGAAAACTTAAATTTACCTCTCTGTCTCATTTCTTTGAGGCAGTACTGATCTTTACTCTGACTGATTCTCAAGCCTCTTTTTGTATTACTTGAATTTTATTTTTTAAATTCCAGGGAGTTTAAAAAGAGTTGGAATTTAATTAATCCATGGTGTTACCTTTTGTGTTAACTGGCCTAATAGTAGTTATAACATTTTAAAATTTATTATACTTGATTCCTTCTTTCCTTCCCTCCCTCTCTGTCCAAATGAAAATACCTCTGTCTGATTATATTCTCTTCTGTGCTGTAGTATAACTCATGTGGGTTTTAGCATGTAATGGCTTACTTACAAGTCTGTCTTCCCATCTAGACTGAACACTGAGTTCACAGGAACCATATCTTAATCATCTTTGCATTCCCAGAGCCCCATCGGTGCCTATCTCATAGTACTGAGGCTATATATGTGTATATATAGTCTGAGAATGTTACTGAACAGAGTTCTATAACTTGAATGAATTCTGCCTATTTTAGCAAGAAACTGTCATATATTACTCTCTTGAAATGAAGAATTGCGTTTGTAGATAATATTCTCCCCTCCATGGAAACTCTTTCACTTATAAAAACAGCACCTGTCACACTTTCAAATAATGCAGAAGCATATAAAATAGGAAGTGGCTATTCTCCGGAAAGCACCAGTGTCGGAAATAAAATGAACACAGCTGAGCATCACTGTGAGGGCGTACTGATTACTGTCCTCTAGGGAGAAGACCTGAGCTGAGCTTTGGACGGTAACGCTGGACACAGAGAAACCTCCCGGCTGGGCAGTGACAGAATCACTCCCGTAGCTTT